AGTAACCTCGTATGCATGCAAAAGCTGGAGAGTGAATAAGGAAGACCATAGAAGAATTGATGCTTTTGAGTTATGGTGTTGGAGGAGAATACTGAAAGTGTCATGGGCTGCCAAAAGAACCAGTAGATCCATTTTGGAAGAAGTGCAGCCAGAGTGCTCCTTGAAGGCCAAGATGGCCAAACTTTGTCTCTCATTGTTGTTGTTGTTGTTAAGTGCCATCGAGTTGGGTCCGACCCATAGCGACCCTGTACAGGGTTTGTTTCTCATACTTCGGATATATTGTCAGGCGGGACCAGTCACAGGAGAAGGATGTCATGTTTGGTAAGGTGGGGTCAGAGAAAATGAGGAAGACTCCCAGCAAGATGGATTAGCGAAATGGCAGCATGGTTGGACTCAAGCGTGGCAACAGTAGTGAGGTTGGCCCAGGACCGGGCAGTGTTTCGTTCTGCTGTGCATAAGGCCACTATGGGTTGGTACCGAGTTGATGGCACCTAACAACAACAGCTACAACAACAAGAACATTATTTCCTTAAGGATCACTTGTGGCAAGGTGGGTTACAACTTGGGCTGCTAACTGGAAAGTCAGCGATTCAAATCCACTAGCAGCTCTGTGGGAGAAAGATGAGGCTTTCTGTTCCCACAAAGATTTAAAGCCTCAGAAACTCTATACAGGGTCACTATTAGAACGAACTTGACAGCACACAACCACCACCATCACCTATATTCTCTTACCTCTTCACTTTCTTTTCATTTCTTAATTCAGCATATATTTATTGATTGCCTTCCATCTTCCATACTAGAGAAAGTCACAGATTATTGCTGTTAGGGTTCCAGTTCATACATGCATGAATTGATTTGAAATGAAAGGATTTGCATATGTCTCTGTGATCAGTTGATGGCTACAGACAAGTTCTTAATACATTTATAGTCTTGCTCTAGGGTACCTTAAAAAGAAAGATGAAATCAAAACTGACTTTCTAGGGGCCAGTTAAATTCAAGGCTGAAGTGTAAACTAAGAAGATAATGGTTACTAATTTTGGGGATTCCAAGGAGGTCATGTTGATAGATTTTCTTAAGGGATGTAGGGCAATCATAGGGGATTATTAAGGAGCTCTAGTAGCATAGTGGTTAAGAATTGGGCTGCTAACCTCAAGGTCAGCAGTTTGAAACTACCAGTGGTTCTGTGGGAAGAAGAAGAGGCTTTCTGCTCCCATAAAGATTTACAGCCTCAGAAACCCTGTGCAGAACCGATTCCATGGTACTTAACAACAACAACAATAAGGGGCTTATTATGAAGAAATTAAAAAAACAGAGTGGTGAGAAAAAGGCCAGTAAAGTTGCATTGAATAATTTTTTCTACCATGACAACGCACCTGCTCTTTCCTAGAAGGTAGTAAGGGCTGTCATATAAAAATTTTATTGTGAAACCTGACCCCCTGTACCTTACGGCCTTGATCTTGCTCCTTCAGACTTCTTTTTGTTTCCCAAACTTAAAGAACATTTAAAAGGAAAATGATTTCAGTCCATGTTGTTATTGTTAAGTGCCATTGAATTGGTTCCCACCCATAGCGACCCTATATAGGATTTCCGAGGAGCAGCTGGTGAGCTTGAACTGCCAACCTTGCAGTTCAAACAGCTATGCAGTCTGGCGCAGTAACCCACAGCGCCACACCAGGAGTCCATAGAGGATGATGGAATTATGTTTTGAAGTGATGTAAATCAAGCAGTGCAGAATTCTTCAGGGAAGGGTTGTTGTTAAGTGCCATGGAGTTAGTGCCAACTCATAACAACCCTATATAGGGTTTCTAAGGCTGTAAACCTTTGCAGGAGCAGAAAGCCTCATCTTTTTTCAGGTAGAGTGACTCATGGGTTCCAACCGCTGACCTTGTGCTAGTATAGTAATCCAGTACTGATCCAACAGAAGGTTGTAGAGATGGAAATACTGCTTTCAGAAGTATAGATCTAGATGAACAATATATAAAGAAAAAAAAAATCTTCACATTTTGATGTTTTTGTTTAGTAAAAGTTTCTATGATTTTGTAGGAATACTTTTTAGCATATCTTTGGTCTGAATGCTGGATATAGAATAGAAAGCAAGACTTTATTAGTCAGGATTCATACAGAAATTTTTAAAAGAAGAGGGGAGGGATACATTTACTTACTTAACTAATAGAAAAGGCAATGGCAGTTTGAACTAGAGACTTGAATACTATGTAGACGACTCTCTCTCGCTTCAGATCTTAGCTTCATTCTTTCAGACTGTCATCATCAACAAGATTCAAAATGTGGCTATAAGAAACTGCCATTGATCATTTCTTCTAGTTTTGCCACCAAGAAAAGACTGATAATTTATTTCTCTGTTTCTAAATTTAAAAATGCCATTGAAAGGATGTTGATTTGTTCTACTAATGCCAGGTACCAGCAGTGGAATCTATAACCAGAGATGTGGCATCCTATTATTGGTTCATCTTGAATCAGATGACTAATACTAAACTAATGAGTTTGTCCTGAGAAGCAGGATTTTATAAAAAAGTAGCAAGTACTCACTGTTGTTGTTAAGTGTCATTGAGTTGGTTCTGACCCATAGTGACCCTATATATATATATTTCTGAGGAGTGACTGGTAAGCTTGAACCGCCGACGTTGTGGTTCAAACCCACTTTGCAGTCCAGCACATTAACCCACAGCGCCACACTAGGACAAAATATGTAATTGAGATGGGTGTAAAAACATTTCCCAGAAAATAAAATTCTACTGACCAGACAAAACAATGAAATAATCTGTAAAATCAAGTATGTCAAGTGTCACAGTAGAGAAAACATCTATTGTCTTGATGTATATATAACATGTAGCACCTCACCTCACATTGTCTGGGAGTCAGACAAGTATTGAAGAAAGGAAGAAAAAAGTAGAACTAAATTTGCAGCACTCCTTTTATGAGGAGAATGTAATATGACAAAAAGAAGATTTTTAAATTATCAGTGATAGTTGTTGATACTGCAATGCCTTCTTCTAGTATGTATGTATGGAACATAGGTTTTAGTAAAAGTTTTAAAAGCCACATTTGTTTAATGAAAATTATACCAAACAATGCTTTTAAAATACCTTACTTTTTGTTCTTATTTTCAACTCTACTATTTTCCACTATAATATATTTTTTGTTACAGAAACTGTGAGAAAACCAATTCATGTCAACCTGAATAGAGATATAAAAATGCCCTTCAGGAAGCATGATTTAGAACTTCCAGTGTCACCTAATTGTGTTCCATCTAAACTTTGCCTTGATGATACAGAAAGCAAGTAGGTTTAGCTAAGTTTTATATTATTAAGATTTTAAACTGATTATTATTAGCATTGTTTTAGTCACTGGAAAATCTATAAGGGTTTACCTTCTAACTAAATGTTTTTGTGTGACTTTTAACAGTATTGTAAAATTAAGATCTTAATCAAATGACTTAGTGTTGATACTCTTTTATACACGGGTTGACTTTCCTTGCTATAAAAATTTATAGTCTTGTATTAATATAACTTAATGAAATTTAGTAATATTATGACCATGCCGTCTACATTTTTTAACCCTAAAATTTTTCTTCATATTAGTGTATACTATCAAAGACTAGGCAGTAAAGAAGAACTTGCTCCAGTTCAGGTGAGATAATTATTTTTTAAAAAACTGTATTATTGGACATTATTTTAGCAATTATGACATTCCACAGAATGATGAGAGTTTTTAATATTGGGGAAAACTTTTGCAAAATTCTTAGTTTTAAAAATAATTCTTTATAGAACTTTTAAATGTAAGGAGTCTATCCATTCAGAACATCTTCATAGATTTCTTAGGAGAAACTATTTGAAGGTCTGCTAGAGCAGATCAGGTCTATGTATGCATAACACTTGGTTTTTCTGGTTTCTGATGAGCCAAAGAGGGCTATTTACTTGAGGATTCTTACTTTGCGGTTGCATGATTATTGAGCAATGCATCTCTTCTAATATAGTGTGCCAATTATTTTATTCTATATCAACTTATGATGTTAAGTGCCCACATTAATCCTCAGGTTTTTTTAAATTCAAAATATGACTAATTAAATTTTAATTGATTAGAGTATACATAGATTGTGGATAAGAATTTTAATTGTGTTAAAGGTTCAATGACTTATTAACTGTCTCTTTTCTTTGAATTTCCAGAGCAGAACTAGATCAGAAAGATAAAGGCAATAATACTAATACTAAAGTCTCTTAGAAATTCTTTCCCCTGAAATATGGATTAATAGAGCTCAGATTTCTTGGCAGTAAACCTATAATATACATGAGTGGAGTTTGAGGGTGGAAGAAAGCATAAGTGGAAAAAGGGAGATAGTAAAGGAGTTCTTACATATAATCTTAGTTGATAACTGCTCCTATCATGATGACTCTTGCCATTTACTTATGATTTGCCTTCTCTTGACAATTTTTCTAGTGCAACCGTTTACCTTTTTATGTACTGTAATTTCAATGTTTTGACTTTCTTGTTCTCTAGTTTATATATTTTGTGATATAAATGATTGTATCTTCTTTTTTATAGACATCAAAAGTCATGGACTCTTGTAGTGTTTTTGAATCTCAGGTCAACAAAATAGAAAACTGCAGATTTTCTCCACCATCTTTTTCACCAGAATTGTCTTCTAACAGTCAAACCAAACACAATTTTACAACTCGAATAGTACCTAATCCTTGGGAAGTTGCATATGAAAACAAACAAAATGAGCAGGTATCATTGAATAATTAATTTTTAGCATTTTATGTTATTATAGTTTCATGATGTACCCTTTTTTTCTCCTTTTATAGATTTAATACATGAAGTTGTGAATTGCTGTAAGTAAAACCAAATTTATACTTGTGCCTTATTGACTATGCAAAGACATTCAATTGTGTGGATCATAACAAACTATGGATAACATTGCAAAGAATGGGAATTCCAGAATACTTAATTGTGCTCAGTGGGAACTTGTATATAGACCAAGAAGCAGTCATTTGAACAGAATAAGGAGCTACTGAATGGTTTAAAATAAGGAAAGGTATATGCCAGGGTTGTATCCTTTGACCATACTTATTCAAATCTGTATGCTGAGCAAATCATCTGAGAAGGTGGCGGATTATATGAAGAGGAGCAAGGCATCAGGTTTGGAGGAAAGACTCATTAACCTACAATATGCAGATGACACAACCTTAATTGCTGGAAGCAACAAGGACTTGAAATACTTACTGATGAAGATCAAAGACCACAGCTTTCAGTATGGATTGTACTTCAATGTAAAGAAAACAAAAATCCTCACAATTGTACCAATCAACAACATCATGATAAATGGAGAAAAGACTGATGTTATCAAATACTTCATTTTGCTTGGATCAATAATCAACACTCATTGAAGCAGCAGTGAAGAAGTCAAATGATATTTTGCATTGGGCAAATCATCTGCAAAAGACCTCTTTAAACTGCTAAAGAAGAAAATGTCACATTGAGGAGTAATAAGGTGTGCCTGACCCAAGCCATGATATTTTCAGTTGCGTCATATGCATGTAGAAGTTGGATAGTGAAGAAAGAAAACTGGAGAACTGATACATTCAAATTATGGTGCTGTCAATATTCAGAGTATCATGGAAGAACAAACAAATCTGTCTTGAAAAGAAGTACAGCCAGTATGCTTCTTAGAAGCTAGGATGGTGAGACTTCATCTCTCATACTTTAGACATGTTAGGAGAGACCAGTCCCTGAGGAAGGACATCATGCTTCATAAAGTTGAAGGGTCATTGATAAAGAGGAAGACCCCAAATGTGATGAACTATATATGACACAGTAGCAGCAACAATGGGCTCATCTATAACAATTGTGAGATGACATCTGACTAAGGCAGTGTTTCATTTTGTTGTGCATAGTGTTGCTATGAGTCAGAACTGACACAACAGCATAATCAAATTAGATCAGTAAAGTATAATATTTCCCCTTTGGATAAAAGAAAAAAAATCTCTGCATGGTAGGAGGTTATGAATGCAAAACTAAATGTTATGAAAAGATCTTTGAAGTTATCTTTGTATAATATTATTGGTAGTAAAATAGTTGAAATAGTTAAGTGTTATATGGTAGTTGATAATAGTATAATTCATAGTACATGACTAGTTGGTGATATCACAGTAGCCCAATATGCAAGATTTGGAAAGTGTTCTGTGAATAGGAATTTGCAATCTTGGTGATATCACAGTAGTTTGCTAAAGTATCAGTTGTGATGACTTGATTCTTTTTATGACTTTTTTCTCCCATGGAGTAGCTGGTAGGTGTGAATTGCTGACCCTAGCCCTACTGTTAGCAACCCAGTGCTTAACCCATTGTACCAGTAGATTTCCTACAAATCATATATACTACATATAAATCATGATAGTGTTGAGTAGTGTTGAACCAATTTAATATCTTAAATCTGTAGGGTACCTCCGACATTAACAAATAGATTGCCTCATCTGCTCCTCCTACAATTATTGTATCACATTTTGCACTCAATAATATTAATATTCAGAAAGGTTAAAGTAGCAATCTTAAACTACTCAGTAAATGATAATACTGTGATAGTCCAATAGTTTTATTGGGATAAGTTGTTATTTCCTGGGTGTTTTGTTATCTTATCTGTCAAAAAATGGTTAGCTCACCACAGTATGCACTCTTTTGTTTAACAATCTTTCAAATACTGATACTAGTTTCATTGTTAGAAAATGATTTTGTTATCACTAAGGATTGTGGACTTGAAACATTTACTTATGAAGATCAAAGAGCACAGCCTTCAATATGGATTACATCTCAATGTCAAGAAAACAAAAATCCTCACCACTGGACACAATAAACAACATTCTTATCAATGGAGAAAAGATTGAAGTTGTCAAGGACTTCATTCTTCTTGTATCAACTATCAACACTCGCAGAAGCAGCAGTCAAGAGATCAGACGATGTATTGCATTGGGCAAATCTGCTGCACGGAACTTTTTAAAGTATTGAAGAGCAGAAATGTCAGTTTGTGGAC